TGATGCTGCTTGGCCTGCTGTGTTCATCCAGCTGTACACCTTGTTATCTCAGATTCTCCAGCATCTGCAGTTCGTACTATCTCTGAAACACGTCTAATGATCACTGGATTTGAAATGTTAAAACTGTTTTCTCTGCACAGAGGCTGCCTGATCTGCTGAGTTTCTCCGGACATTTCTCTTTTTGTTTGTTTCAGATCTCCAGTTTCTGCAGTTCCTTGTTTTATATTATGAAGTATCATGCACTGTTTTATTTTCAATAACCAAATTTAATGGTCTAATTTAAATTGTCTAGAGCATCAGATGCCTTCAACAGTTTTAATTTAAAAGAGATAAAATAAATCTTTGCTTTTATAAAACTATTTTCTAAATAGATAGATAATTTGGATGTAGTTGAAGAAATTGGTCCTGAATTTCCTATAACCAAGGCACAATGGCATGGCAGTAATGCGGACAGCTGAAGCTGGAATATCTGGAAAGACCGAGAAACATGGGATTCCTACCTAGATAAGGAGCCAACACTAGTATTCACTGGTGCCTGGAATGGACAGAACTCCATCTTCCTCACACAAGGCCCAAAATTAATGAAATAATTGGAAGTTAAGCCTCACATCCTCACCTAATGAATTTGCGTTGTTCTCAGCCATACAGATATTGTTAAAAAAAAACTGGCATTGGTGTAGAATGGCATCTGGACTGGGAATGAGCTGGCAAACCTGAGGATGGTACCTACACTTTTTTTTAAACCATGAATTTCTTATAAAAAGATATGATTACTTTCTTTGGAGAGAATACTGGGACCTTTGTGTGGGTTTACAATGCTGGATCTTCTCCCACCCTGACTACATCCCTTCCAAACATTCCAAGGTGTTGTTGAATGTTGGAATGATCTTGAATATTTAACACCATTGATTTAGTTTGGTCAGAGATGAAATTTAGCAGTACAACGTGATTCATGCTCCACTGTTGATCATGGCAGAATGAATTAGATAGTTTCTGGAACCATTTAGCTTTCTAGTTAATCAGTACAACTAAGTTCAGATTCTCATTTGGTTGCATAGACGTAGGATATTTTTGTGAAAAAGACATATTTTATCGGTGATTTTCATCTTGCATTCACCAGGCCAATTAATAAGAAACACTAACATAAAGGTAAAACAGTATTTATAGTTTGAGAAGTGAGCACTGATTAGTTGACTCCTATTTTCAGGGCCATGGGGGGGTTGGGGGGGATGGTGACCCCACCTGCTGAGAGTTACAGGTCAGATGGTAGCAGTATCACCTGAGAGATGGTGACTGTTGCCAAAATGACAGAGGAACATTGAAATCACACAGTGACCCAGGCCAGAGACATGCAACGGTAGGAGGAACTTTGCAGGATAAGGAAATGAGAGAGAAGTAGGTGTTCCTAATGTCAGGTTTCTTGAACAGGTATGGGTGACTTTAAAGGATAAACTGACTTTCCAATGAGACAATAGTGCACACATATTTACTTGTGTAAGCCACAGGGTAAGAGGCTCACTTGCAGCTGAACTAATACTAGCATCATCCAGATAAGCTCCTTAAGTAGGTCATTAATTGTCCACTTAAAGGCCTGAATTAGCAGGAAGGCAAAATATGCGCTTTCCTTCCTCAGACTTAATCATAGTGAGAGCAGAATTTTGGCAGGATGCTAACCTGCTACCTTCTCACCTGATTAAACTCCTAACTCCAAGAATGCAACTAAAGAGGGTAAAATATTGCACCATAGCCTCTTACTTTTGAAAACGCAGATAGAAAAATAATAGAAAAAAATGAATACTTAATTATTTTTAGCTTATGCGCTTCTTATATTTAGTTTTATGGAAGGTTCTTATTATCATCATTAGAATTGTAACATATCGATGGGAGAGTATCAAACATATTTAATTATAGGTAATTTTACTACTTAGAACTTTGGAGTGGGAAGACTTTACTACCAGTTACATAATAGATATTTGTGTTCTCATCCAGTGTGAATTTTCATCAATAAATGTCATATGCTTAAATTTACATTATGGAGCTCAGCTCTGGGTGTACATCCCTAATGAATCTTCGTTAATACTGAGATAATAGAATACTCAATAAAACTAATAGTTCTTCTGTTGGTCTGATTAGGCTAACCTCAAAATGTGGAGATCTGAGAGTGGCTTCCTTAGAATTGGTCTGATGGAGAATTGTTTACAGAATTTTCAAGAGATGTAGTAGAGTATGTGCTGGATTATACTATACATGAACGTTGTAGAAGGAGCAAGGTTTTGATCCAATTGTTTATTTTTTTATTTTATTTTCACTATATATTTGTAACAGAACTTCTAGAAGCAACAATGAGGCAAGGCAACACCAGGACCTCCAGCAGCAGGTGGCGACAGTGATGCATGGCACTGAGCAGGGCAGCCAGAACAGTTGAACGCACCTTTTCTGGAGGAAAGTGTGTTTTTGGGGAAAGGAGGTCTCATGGCAAGGATTGAGACAGACAAAGGATTTTCTCAAACAGATATAAACCACTAACTTAATTCCCAGATTAAATATGCCCTCCTTGTTTAGCTTTAATTTCCCTTCATGTTTGAAATGCCCTGATGCCAGTGAAGTAGGATTCCTTATTTCATGACTTTTGGGCTGTACAGATGTTCCAAATTTCACACTTTATTCTTAAGGCATTCCAGAATACCCACTTGACTGACAACATTATCATATTAAAAACAGAAACAAAGAAATGCTGGAAGCACTCTATAAGCCAGGCAGCACTTACGATGAAAGGTCATCAGATACTTTCTAGCCTGTTGATATTTTTGTTAGCAATTTTTTTGCTTTTGTGTCAGATTTCCAACAACTTTATTATTTTGCTTTTGATTTAGAATGGCAAAATCTTGCTGAGATCAGAATGTCTTTTCTTCAAATTCCTACGATGATTTTTAATTGTATTCTACTTTAAATAAATTCGAAAAACATTAATAAAATATCTGATATCAAAGATCTATTTATGTATATCCATTAAAATCCAAAATAAAATGTGATAGAGTTTGGTTGGGTTACTATTTCTAAAATAGCATGCAGTACTTAATAATTGTGTCTTATAATCTTTCTAGGAGTCAATGTTTATTAATTCCTAAAATGTGTGTCAGAATGCATCATATTGAACTTGACCAATACAGGCAACTATTGGAAAACAACTACTGAGCCAATATATGCTATGTTATTATTCATTTTTGCATTTTGTATACTGCAGCTACCCTACAAAATGTATTGACGTTTAGTTGGTAGTTTTGTTAAATTGGTTTATTTCCGACCAACACTTGCATTAGAAAAGAAAGTAACTAAAGTCTTCTTACAAATCTCTAGCCTTATATTTTGCCTTTTTCACCATGATTGCTAATATCTCACACACCTTTTAAGGGATTTTATTCCAACATCCATTTTTCAGTCCGTTCCTTACATTAATTTCCAATCTGAGGCATCTCAGCTAAAAGGGTTGTCAGATCTTTGTCAATAACAGTCTTAACAGCAGCTGGGCGGTTGCAGACATAGATGCCTGCTCTGATTTTTTTGTCAAGTAAATTACCTCTCATCTGGTTAGCCTTCCTAAGAGCCAGCTGAATTTGAACCTTACCGTATAATGGTTGTACAAAGGGAAATCCTCTATGTAAATATTGCAAGATAAAAAAAAGTGCTGAAAATTTCATTGAATAATGACAAAAGCAAACATGCAAAATTCTATTCTCTTTCAAACTGCTCTTTCAAACACTACTCAGCCTTCTCTGCTTTATATCTTTCATTTTAGATTGGCAACATTTTACAATACAATAATCCACAATTGACGAATCAGCTGGAAATAGGGAATGATTCATGAAGTTATGGGAAACTAGTTTCAACGTACCCATCTGTGATGTCACTGTTGTTTGCCAAAGCCTTGTGCGCAGCCAGGAAAATGGACTCCAGGAGAATTTTGGTGGCACTTCCACCTTTCATGCGGGATGATCCAGTGATTCCTTCAGGCTGAAAGATTTTAATTCCACAAAGCTTTACAATAACAACCCCATTCTGCAGATGCAGGAATTTACTCTCTAATTATTTACTGTCTGACAACAATATTTGCATACATCTACTTGGAGCACTTGTGTTGGTGTTCTATCCAAATATATTGTAGTCTTGAATAACTTTCTCAATGTTTTAATCATTGCTGCATGGCTTTTGGTTTAATGGTTGTTTCTTTTTTTAAAAAAATACACGATCTGAAACTCAAAGTTACTCTTGTTTTTAAAACGATACCATCAATTTAACAGAACAAACGTGGCAAACTGTAAATCTCAACTTTTTTCCTCACTACAAACTGGCATAATCCCTCTAGAATAATGCACATCAGTGCTTCCTGCCATTGACTACCTTAGGTAGAATGATCTGTATTGGTTCTCACAGTCAAAAATTTAAAACCCATCTACCACTGGGATATTGACATCTAAACACATCCTCTTCAGACCTATCTCAAAGGAACAATTCAATTTAAAAAAGAAAAATATATTTCTTGGGAGACACACAGACATCCTTAAAATCCTAGCACTGAGGCTCAAATTCACTGTTGACCAGTGCTTCACATATACCTTTTGCACACTATGTTGGGACTTCCTCCTGCTCCTCTCTTTTCAGGATCTATCTCCACCTATCGTTTACTTCTTACTCCTCCCCCACCCCATCTTCTGCATAAAAATCAACATTTACCTGGCTGCCATCAGTTCTGAGGAAGGGTCACTGGACCTGAAACATTAACTCTGTTTTTTTCAAAGATGCTGTCAGGCCTGCTGAGCTTTTTCAGCAATTTCTGTTTTTATTTCTGATTTCCAGCATCTGCAGTTCTTTCAATTTTTATTTAGTGGAGGTGAATATCTCTTTACGTAGCGCTGGAAATGTTTTCATCCTGACCTGTACCATACATGAATGGTGGGTCAGTAGAGAATCAACAGTGACAGTGTTCATGGTAGTGAATTGCTTTGAGGTTTCAATTGCATTGACTGATGCTTATGTAAATATCTTCATTAGATCCAGTTTGTTTCTGGTCAGCAAACTGATCACCTAAATCAAGCTTTGATGAAAACTGTGGTCAGTTATTTTCTTGCTTCTGTTATGACCAGGTGAGAAGTGGTGAATAGTTCTCTTACATTTAGCTCCTTGGTCGGTCTCAACACAATCACAGAATTTTTACAATGCCATTTGGAACTTCATATCTGCACCTTTACTCTGAATGAGCATTTTGACTAATTATGAACAAGGTACAAGAGTAGGCCATTCTTGAGCCTTCTCCCCATAATTCTGCAGAGTATTTCAAAAGAAACAATGCTTTTTTGAAAAATTTATTCACAAGATGTGGGCATCACTGGTTGGAACAGCATGTATTGCCCAGCCCTAGTTGTCCTTGCGAAGATGATAGTGAGCTGCCTTCTTGAACCGTTGCAGTCCATTTGGTGTAAGTAGTCCCACAATGCCATTAGGAAGGAAGTTTCAGGATTCTGACCCAGCGACACTGAAGGAACACTGATATATTTTCAAGTTTGGATACTGAGTGGCTTGGAGGGGAACTTGCACATGGTGGTCTTGCAATGTATCTGCTGCCCTTATCCTGGTAATAGATGGTAATAGTTGTGTGTTTGGAAGGTGCTGTCTTAGGAGCTTTGGTGAATTTTAGAAGTGCATCTTGTAGTTGGTGAATTCCAGTCTGAAGTAGGGTCATTGGATGTGAAACGTTGACTCTGCTTTCTCTGCATAGATCCTGCCAGAGCTACTGAGTTTCTCTAGAAATTTCTGTTTTTGACATTAGGATGCCAAATTATAAATGACATCTATTATCACAAATGTTGTTGGTTTTATAAGAAATGGTTAATTAACTTTGCTCTTGGAGTTTCTCACCAAAACTGGAAAAAAAATTATCTCCAATTTCCATCCTTCCCTTCCATGACCTCCGTTTCCATTTCTGGAGATAGGCTGCTCACCAATATCCACTATAAATTCGCCAACTCCCACTTTACTTTGATTATACTTCCTCACACCCTACTTCCTAGAATGACTCCATTCCATTCTGCAAGTTTCTCCATCACAACTGTATCTGCTCTGATAATGTCACCATCCACAGGGGTGCTTCCAACGTGTCATGTCTTTCTTTCTTCTTCAACTGCAGATTTCCCCCAGTATAATTTACTAGCCCCTTTTGGGCTTTCTGATCCATTTCCTGCAGTTCTGTTCTCCTTTATTCCACAACCACAATATGGTTCCCCTTATCCTCTCTCTCCACCCCACAAGCCTCTACATTCAAAAGGATCATCCTCCGTCACTTCCATCACTTCCAGTAGGATGGGACCACTAGTTCTCCGCCTATTCTCTTGTCACTATTTGCAGAGAACATTCCCTCCACAACAGCCTGGTCCACTCCTCCATCACTTTCAACACCTTCCCCCACCAAACCCCTCACCCCAGCTCCCCCTCCCTGTGGCACCTTTCCACACATTCATGAAGGCTATAACACATGTTCTTTTTCCTCCTCCATCCTCACTATCAAAAGCACCAAACATATCTTCCAGCATTTTGTTTGTATTTCTTTCAATCTAGTCTACTGTATTTGCTGTTTACCATGTGAATTCCTTTACTTTGATGAGCCCAAACTCAGACTGGATGATCACTTTGCAGAACACCTCTGCCATGTCGATAATAATGACCTTCCAGTCACTTGCCATTCCAATACACCATCTTGTTCTCTTTCCAAAATTTCTGCCCAGGCCAGTTACAGTGTTCAAATATAGTTCAACACAACCTGGAGGAATAACACCTCATTTTCCACATAAGAACTTTATAGCCTTCGGAAGTCAGCATGGAGTTCAACAATTTCTGAAAATGAACTCCCCTCGATTTTGATTACAAACACTCTATGCCATGTCTTACTTGCATGGGTTTGCTCTTGGCACATTTTCTGTCATTAACACCAACTTTTCATGTATGTTCCTCTAATACTAATAGCAGTCTATTGCCTTTTGCTCTGAGCACCTCTACTATCTGTTTGACTTGCTCCCATGTACTTTTTCAACAGCATGTCAACTATCATTTTTACAGCCCTCTTTACTTCCAAAGACGTCATATTGGAGTCAAAATGTATTTATCTCTCCACAGATGCTTCCAGACCATTGAGCTTCTCCAGCACTTTCTGTTTACGTTTTTGCTCTTAGAGTTCATATTATTTCAAGAGCATAGTTCGAGCCTTTAAAGGATTGAAGATAATTTTTATCACTGCTTCATTGCTAAAATTAAAGAAACTAAATTCCTCTGAACAATATCTTTTGTACAATCAACCAAGAGAAAAATCCTGAAAGACCATACTTACCCCAACAATGGGGTTAATGATATACGCCTTGTGTAGCTTTTCCAATTTCTGAATTCCTTCTGCCACTTGACGAAATGTAGAATGCCATCCCTCTATTTTGTCAGATCTTCAAAAAACAATGTTGAACAACCATTTTTTTAAATGAAGTATTTAAATAAAAGGCTAGCAAACATTTCATGTACTCCATTACCCTCTTTGCTTTTGATACCACTCGAGTTTGAAACATATTGAATGAATAGCATTTCAATGTCAGTGCTTCAAGATAAGGAATATTGATGTCCACGTGTCAAGTTGTCCAAATTATAATATTGTAAAGGAAATTATGAGTTAGGAGATACCAAAAATAACTTGCATCTATATATTTTCTAAACATTGTATCATTAAAAAAAGACAAAAAAAAACCGAGTCGCTTAAAAAAGCACTAAGTCAAATGTTGGTTTTATGCACTGTCTTTCAGAGGAGAGAAAAGTAGAGAGACTGAGAATTAGAGGCAAAATTTCTGAATTGGGTATTTAGCAGCTGAAGAAATGGTTACTAAGACTGGAATTATTAAAATTATGCATGCAAAAAATACTACATAGTGGGTCCACTTTTGTTTATCAATTATATACTATAGGAGGCATGCTTAGTAGGTTTGCGGATGACACCAAAATTGGTGGCATAGTGAACCATGGAGAAGGTTATCTAAAGTTACAAAGGAATCTTGATCAATTGGATTAATGGGCTGAGGATTGGCAGATGGAGTTTAATTTGGATAAATGTGAGGTATTGCTTTTTGGTAAAACAAACAAGGGAAGGACTTATACAATTAATGACAGGGCCCTGGGTAGTGTCGTAGAACAGAGAGAACTAGGGGTTCAGGTACATAATTCCTTGAAATTTGCATCACAGGTAGACAAGATGGTTAAGAAAGCATCTAGCACATTTGCCATTATTGCTCAGATGTTTGAATATGGGAGTTGGGATGTCATGTTAGGTTGTCAAGGATGTTTTTGAGGCCTCTTCTGGACTGCCGAGTGCTGTTCTGGTCACCCTGCCAGAGGAAGGGTATTATCAAACTGGAGAGGGTTCAGAAAAGACTTACCAGGATGTTACCGGGAATAGGGGGTTTAGATAGGCTAATAGGCTGGGAGATTTTTCACTCGAGCATAGGAGGTTGAGGGGTGACCTTATGGAATTTAATAAAATCATGAGGAGCATAGTTAAGGTGAATGTTAAAGATCTCTCCCTAAGGTGGGGGAGTTCAAAACCAGGAGGAATTTTATAAGGTGAGAGGAAAAAGATTTAGAAAGGACATGAGGGGCAACTTTTTTTACACAGAGAGTGGTTAGCATGTTGAATGAACTGCCAGAAGAAGTGATGGATGCAGGTGCAGTTACAACGTTTAAAAGACATCTGTATTAGTGCATGAATAGGAACATTTTGGAGGGATATTGGCCAAACGCAGGAAGTTGGGACTAGTTTAGTTTGGGAACATGGTCAGCTTGGACTGGTTGGACTGAAGGATCTGTTTCCATGCTGTATGATTCTACGACCCTATGATTCTATGACTCTATGACCATATGACCTCAGTGCATTGTAGGGCTGATAAAAATCACAGAGATGGGAAAGGGGAGGGCATGGAGGATTTGATAACAAGATGGGGAGTACCAGTGGCTCAGTGGTTAGCGCTGCTGCTCATAGCGCCAGGGATCCCGGTTTGATTCCACCTTCGGGCGACTGTGTGAAAATTCTCCCCTTGTCTGCGTGGGTTTCCTCTGGATGCTCCGATTTTCTCCCACAGTCCAAAGATGTGCAGGGTAGGTGGATTGGCCATGCTAAATTGCCCATAATGTCCAGGGAAGTGCAGGCTAGGTGGATTAGCAATAGGAAATATAGGATTACAGGGATGGGTTGGGCCTGAGTGGGATGCTCTTCAGAGGGTCATTGTGGACTCGATGGGCTGAATGACCTGCTTCCACACTGTAGGTATTCTATGATTCTTTGACAACTATAAAACTGAGTCAATGCCAGACCGGGAGCCAATTTAAATCAGTGAAGACAGGAATGATTGGTGAATTGGATGTGATGTTTTTGATCAAATCAAGTTTCATTAAGATGAAAAAAAAGGATGCCAATCAAGACAGCAATGGAACAATTCAGTTTGGAGGTAAAATGGGCATCAGATGTCCTGGAGTGAAGGAAGACAGATGATTTTAAAAATTTGTTCATGGAATGTAGGTGTTGCTGGGTGGGCCATCATTTATTGCCCATCCCTAATTGTGATTGATCTGAATGGCTTGCTAGGGCTATTTCAGAGTGCAGTTAAGAGTCAATAACATTGCTGCAGGTCTGGAATCCCATGCAGACTAGACTAAGTAAGGATGACAGATTCCTTGCCCTAAAGGGATTAGTGAAATAGATGTGTGTTCGCAACAATTGACAGTGAATACATGACCACCAAAAGACGAATGTTCAATTTTAGATTTTGACCGAATTCAAATTTCACCATTTGCCATGGTGGGATTCGAAAACTGCCAAGGAGTTACCACTATTCAAAAAGGGAGGAGGAAAAAAGTGGTTAACTATAGGCTGATTAGCTTAACATGTATTTCTGGAAAAGTATTGGAGTCAGTTACTAAGGAAGTAATAGCAGAACATTTGGAAAATGAAAATCTAATCATACAGAGTCAGCATGCCTTCATGAAAGGGAAGTCATATCTGACTAATTTATTAGAGTTTTCGAAGCAGTTTCAACCAGAATGTATAGAAGGAACTAGCAGAGGTGCTATATTTGCACTTCCAGAAGGCGTTTGACAAGACACCTCCCAAAAAGTTGTCATAATATAACAGCCCACCATGTTGGAGGTCGTATGTTGGTGAGGATAGTGAATTGGCTAATGAGCAGGAAACAGTGAGTAGGGGTCTTTCCACATTGATGACCTGCGACCAGTGGGGTTTCACAGGGACCAGTGTTTGGATATAACGGCTTACTGTATATATTAATGACTTGGAGGAAGGAAGTGTATGTACGGTAGACGACACAAAAAGACTTGGAAAGGCAAGTTATGAGTGGAATACAAACAGTTTACAGAGAGATATTGATAGATTAAGTAAGCGGGCAAAAAGTTGTTAAATTAGTATAATATGGGAAAATGTGAAGTTGTTCATCTTAGAAGGGAGAACAAAAGAACAAACAGTTACTTAAATAGAGAATAACTGCAGAAAACTGCAACACAAGGGGACTTGGGGTACTTGTACACAAAACACAGAAATGTGGCACATTGGTGTAGCAGGTAATCAGGAAGACTAATGGAACATTGGCACTTATTTTAAGGGGGTTGAAAGATAAGAATAGAGAAATCTTACTGCAACTGTACAAGTTGCTTGGTAAGACCACATCTGGAGTACTGTGAGCAGTTTTGGTCCCCTTATTTAAGGGAAGGTGCTATTTAATTGGAGGCAATTCAGAGAAAATTCACCTGGATAATCCCAGGTATGGAGGGATTGTCTCATGAAAAAAGGTTAAATGAATTGGCACTCTACTTAGTGGAATTTAGAAGAATGGGTGGTGATCTCATTGAAACAGATAGGATTCTTAAGGGACTGGACAGCGTAAATGCTAAGAGGATGTTTCCCTTCATGGGACAGTCTAGGACAAGAGGGCATTGTCTCAGAATTAAAGGACACCAATTTAAGGCTGAGCTGAGGAGGAATTTTTTTTTCAGAAGGTTGTGAATCTTTAGAACACCTTGTTACAGAGAGCTGTAGAGCCCTTGTGTATATTTAAAGCTAAAATAGGTTCTTGGTCAGTAGGGGAATCAAGGGTTATGGGGAAAGGGCAGGAAAGTGGACGTGAGGAGTGTTGGATCAGCGATGAGCGTAATGAATGGTGGACCAGGTTCGAGGGGCTGAATTGCCTACTCCTGTTCTTATTTCTTATTGTCTTATGGGGTTTGAACTCATTTCTAGTTCAGTGAATTACAACTACAGCTTTCCCTATTACAGAGGAGGAAGTAGGCAGTCTTGGTGATGGAGTGATGTGCTACTGGATGATGTTACAGAAGTGAAAATAAGCAGTCTTATTGTTTGTGCTGATATGGTTGGAAGCTTATCTCAAAGTCAAATATGATAACAAGGTTGTGAATAATCTGGATTAGCCTTAAGCAGCAGCCAGGAAAAGGGTTGGTCCTGTCATTTAGGAACAAAGTTTATGGTGAGGATCAAAAATAATGGCTTTGATTTTCCCAATGTTTGATTAGGAATAATATCTGTTTACTGAGCACTGGATGCAAGAGGAGCTGTGTGACAACTTAGAGTCATTGGTCAAAAGAAGTGGTAGTGAGATTGAGCTGGGTGATATCTGTGTACCTTACGAAATAAATCCTGTTATCAGATGCTTCTGCCAAGAGAGACAGGATATCATTGAGAAAAAGGTTGTGGGCATCGATGGAAAACACTTGGTATAAAGGTAACAAAGTGGGAAGAGAAGCCTTTGCAGATTATTCACTGTCTACGCTGGAGAGGACAGTTCCACCCAACTGGACAGAGGTGGAGAGGCATCAGAAGAGATCATTCTGATGTTTGATGTCACCCTTGTCTTAAGTAGCATAATTCTCACCACGAAAACTCTGGTGTGAGACAATGCAGTAAAATTTGTCCACATCCAATTACTTTACACTTTTAATGAATTTTACTTTTTTTAAGGTCACACACTTGACAAATTATTCTCTTAAAAGTTAATTTTATTTCAGGTTTCCATGACATCTATGGTGACCAGGAATAGATACTTTGCTCTGTTAATTATAATAATAAAATCAAATTTTTAATAGATTTTTTTTGCAATGGATCTATTTATCGAGCATTTTATTTTGTAGTTTCTATTGGGTAGAAACTAATGATGATCAGAAATAAATTATAGAACTCGTTGGCATTAGTATTTAAAGAAATAATAGCCTTGAAAGTGACTTCATTATTCAATGCTTTACTTAGTGGAAGTTTTGGTAAATGAAAAAGCCCTGAGGAAAATTGATGCACAGAGAGATCTGGGTGTTCAGGTCCATTGTACCCTGAAGGTGGCAACGCAGGTCGATAGAGTGGTCAAGAAGGCATACGGCATGCTTTCATTCATCGGACGGGGTATTGAGTATAAGAGTTGGCAGGTCATGTTACAGTTGTATAGGACTTTGGTTCGACCACATTTGGAATACTGTGTATAGTTCTGGTCGCCATATTACCAAAAGGATGCGGATGCTTTGGAGAGGGTGCAAAGGAGGTTCACCAGGATGCTGCCCGGTATGGAGGGCACTAGCTACGAAGAGAGGTTGAGTAGATTAGGATTACTTACATTAGAAAGACGGAGGTTGAGGGGGGACCTGATTGAAGTCTACAACATCATGAGAGGTACAGACAGGGTGGATAGCAAGAAGCTTTTTCCCAGAGTGGGGGCCTCAATTACTAGGGGTCACGATTTCAAGGTGAGAGCGGAAAAGTTTAAGGGAGATATGCTTGGATAGTTCTTTACGCAGAGGGTGGTGGGTGCCTGGAACGCGTTGCCAGCGGAGGTGGTAGAGGCGGGCACGATAGCGTCATTTAAGATGTATCTAGATAGATACATGAATGACAGGGAGCAGAGGGATACAGATCCTTGGAAAATAGGCGACAGGTTTAGATAGAAGATCAGGATCGCCGCAGACTTGGAGGGCCAAAGGGCCTGTTCCTGTGCTGTAATTTTCTTTGTTCTTTGTTCTTTTGAGCATCTAGTATTTAATAGAATGAACACATTATTATATCAGTTATAGCTACTGCGTAAAACGGACACTACTGCATTAGGATAGATGGCCTTCCATTCTTCTAGATATAGTTTACTGCATGGGAGAATGCAGGTGCAATGGTGCTATCACTAGACTATTAATTCAGAGGATATGCATTCAAATCCGATCATAGCTGCTGGTGGAATTTAAACTCAATTAATTTTTTTTAAAATCTGGAGTTGAAAGCTAACTTCAATAATAGTGACCATGATTCTGTGCAAATTCCAGTCTTAGCCACTTTTGGAATATTGAGTTCAATTCTGGTCTCTGTACTATTGGAAAGATGTTAAACTTGAAAGGGTACAGAAAAGATTTACAAAGATGTTGCTAGGGTTTGAGGGTTTAAACTAAAGGGAGAGGCTGAATAGGCTGGGGCTATTTTCCCTGGAGCATTGGAGGCTGAAGGGTGATCTTATAGAGGTTTATAAAATCATGAGGGGCATAAATAGAGTGAATAGCCAACGTCTTTTTCCCAGGGTAGTGGAGTCCAAAACTAGAGGACTTAGGTTTAAGGTGAGAGGGGAAAGATTTAAAAGCGATCCAAGGAGCAACATTTTTATGCAGAGGGTGATGCATGTACGGAACGAGCTGCCAGAGGAGATATAAAGACAGGTTCAATTACAATACCTAAAAGGCATCTGAATTGGTACATGAATAGGAAAGGTTTACAGAGATATGGGCCAAATGCTGGCAAATGGGACCAGTTTAACTTAGGATACCTGGATGGCATGGACGAGTTGGACTGAAGGGTCTGTTTTCATGCTGTACAGCTCTATTACTCCTTGACTCTTTGTTGATAATGTCAGAAATCTGCCATCCTTACCTGGTCTAGCACACATGTAACACCATACTTACAGCAATGTAGCTGATTCTTAACTGTGCTCTCCACATGTTTCAAGGCCAATTAAGGATTGGCAACAAATGCTGGCCTTGCCCAGATTTCATGAAAAAAATAAAGGCTCTGTCTTTGGTTCCAGGTATCTCCACCCATCATGTCCTTTTATTGTCTCGAATTTTCTTCCCAAATCCTTCCAGAAGCTGTATTTCTCCCCATTTTTGAAAGCTTCCTGAAAATCCTGACTTTCAGCCATGACTCTGGCAACTTTCCTTTCACTGAGAGTCCTTGGCAGTCCCCACCCCTTCCCTTCATCTGCTGGCTTGTATCTGTTCCCAAGCCCAGCCCATTGAAGAACCTTGGTAGATATCTTTATGTTAAGAATACTGATCAGGTGTAGGTAGTAGGGAGCATAGAAGACAATTTTTAATGAAGGAAATACTTATATGAAAGATATATATTTAAGTGAACCTCCACAATGGATATCTAAAACTACTGAAGTGCAATCTATGATCCTGACATGGGCAAGGCAATTGGCACTGGACATACAGTAGAAGGAGCTCCTGAGTATATTATAATAGCCTTGGATTAACTACATCGAGTGTTAGGTTACTTCATACTTTGCCATATTAACTGGATTGAACCCCACTAGAACAGGGATGAATTTCTCTGGGTTGTTCAAGCAGATGTGCAGCTGACCAGCAACAAATGGAGCCTGCAGGCAGGAAAAATATTTATAAAGTATTAAACGATGATAAACAAGAGAAACCAGGCACCCAAATACTGTCATATTTTAAACAAAGGACTGTATAAGCCTCATGTAATACTTAAGCATTAAGAACCATTATGTGCCTTGCAATCTGGTGGCAAACATTTATAGGCCATTCTTTTTCAATGAATCTGAATGTGATTCCATGATCTTACAATCTGGCAGGAATTGTGCTTACAGTAAGCATGATCCAGAATTTTGTTTGTCAGTAATTGTAGCTCTATCTTTGACCAATACTCCCTGGATATGAAAAATTTTCTTTGATCTTCCAAAACACTGTGGCAACATCTTCCAAAAGGCTACTTAGAGCACATTAGAAAATACCAGTATGTTCAATGTTCTCTAAGGCTGAACAAATATTTGAAGACACCTAATAAGTCCATAAGATGTAGGAGCAGAAGTAGGCCATTCAGCCCATTCAATGAGACAACAGCTGATCTCATAATCCTTGCCTCTACTTTTTTCCCTTTTCACCATTCCCCTTGATTCCCTTATTGATTAAAAGTCTGTCTACCATAGCCTTGAACACACTTAATGATAATACCTAAACAACCCACTGGGGAAATAATTCTCAGCTTAATTACTTCTTGAGAGAAGAAATTTCTCCTCATCGCTGTCTCAAATGTGTGACACCTTATTGTGAGATATGCCATTTGATCCTAGGTTCTATCACTAGGGGAAAAAAACATTCTGCATGTTGACAACCTGTCAAGTCAACTAAGAATCGTGCATATTTCAATAAGGCCACCTTTTATTTTTCTAAGTTCCAACTTGTGCATGCACAGCCTACTCAAGGTTTCCTCATAAGAAAGTCCCTCCACACCTGATATCAGCTTAGTAAACCTTGTCTGGACTGTCACCAATGCCAGTATATCTTTCCTTAGATAAGGGACCCAAGACTGTTCACAGTATTCCAGCTGTGGTCTGATTCACACTTGTATAGTTTAAGCAAAACTTCCCTGGTTTTATCCTCCATTCCTTTTGAAATAAAGGCAAACATTTCAATTGGCTCCCCTGTAGTCCGTTAGCCTTTTGTACTTCATAGATGATAACTCACAAATCCCTCCCTTCTGTAGCTTTCTGCATCTTTCTCCATTTAAATAATACTTAACTGCTCTATTCTTCGTGCCTAAGTGCATAATGTCACATTTCCCATATTTTATTCCCACTGCTAAGTTTTTAGCCACTCGCTTAACCTACCTATATGCCTCTGCAGACTCTTTGTGGCATCCTCACCATTTGTTTTCACACCTATTTTTGTGTTTCTCTGGAATTTAGAAGAATAACAGAAGATCGAATTGAGGTATATAAGATGTCAAAGGGGTTCGAGAAATTAGATGTAGAGAGTGTGTTTCCCCATGTGAGGCAATCTAGAATGAAAGGAATCTGTAGACGTAACTATGCCACAGTGCAATGGATGCTGGGAAATTGAGTAAATTTAAGGAGGAGATAGACAGATTTTTAATTGGTAATGGGTTGAAAAGTTATGGAGATTGGGTAGAAAGGTGGACTTGAGGCTGAGAGGAGACCAGCCATGATTGTATTAAATGGGGGAGCAGGCTTGAGGGGCCTACTCCTGCTTCTAGTTCCTACGTTCTTATATGTCATCTGAAAACTCAGTCCATTTCTGAAGAAGGGTCTAGGCCCATTTCTGAAGAAGGGTCTAGGCCTGAAACGTCAGCCTTCCTGCTCCTCTGATGCTACTTGGCCTGTTGTGTTCATCCAGCTCTACACCTTGTTATCTCAGATTCTCCAGCATCTGCAGTTCCTACTATCTCTATAGTAAATTCATTTTCCCTATCCAATTTATTAACATATATTGTCAATAATTGTGGTCCCTGTATTAATCCCTGTGGTACACCACTAGTTGCACATTGCCATTCTGAAAATATGTCCCTTATCTTAACCCTCTGTCTTCTATTAGTTTGCCAATCCTCTATCCATGCTAATATAGTACCTCCAACATCATCTTCTTAGTAGCCCAATGTGTGGTACCTTATCAAACATCTGAAAATCCAAAAAAAATTACGTATATTATCATAGAGTCATAGAGTCATACAGCATGGAAACAACACTTCAGGTCAACCAGTCCATGCTGAACATAATTCCAGACTGAACTAGTCCCACCTGCCTGCTTCTGGCCCATATCCCACCAAACCTATCCTATTCATGTACTTATCCAAATGTATTTAGAACATTGTGATTGTGCTCACATCCACCACTTCGTAAGGAAATTCATTCTGTGCACGAACCACCCTCTGTGTAAAAAAAATTGCCCCCATGTCTTTTTTAAATCTTTCTCCTCTCACCTGAAAAATATGCCCCTTGTCTTGAAATCCCCCATCCTAGGAAAAACACAACCACCATTAACTCTCTGAAATAACTGCACAGAGGCCGTGTCACCTCACCAAGTCACCCTTTTATTTACTAGTGCACAGTACACTGGCTGTGGCCAGCCAGCTCAAAGTCAATTCTCAACTGAGATGATTATGATCTCCTGGTCAACCAAGTCTTTCCTGATTGGCCCAGGCTAACAGCCCCAATCAAGAACCTTGTAGTTAACAAGGTCAACCTGGTCCTAATCACTACACTGTCATTATTTTATAAACTTCTATAAGGTTGCCTCTCAATCTCCTATGCTTCAGTGCAAAAAGTCCCAGCCAATTGGCCTTTCTTTAAAACTCAAACCTTCCATACCTGGCAACATCCTGGTAAATCTCTTCTGAACTCTTTCTAGCTTAATAATATCCTTCCTATAACTGGGCAACCAGAACTGGACTTGGTATTCCAGAAAAGGCTTCACCAATGTCCTTTACAACCTCAACATGACTTCCCAACTCCTTATTCAAAGGACTGAGCAATGAAGGCAAGTGTGCTAAAGGCCTTTTTAACCACCCTGCCAACATGTGACACAAACTTCAGTGTTTCCTTTATCTATTCTGCTTGTTACCTCCTTAAAAAATTGTAGCAAATTGTGAGGCATAATTTCCCCTTCATGAACCCATGCTGACTCTGGTTGACTGTATGATTTATTTCTAAATGCTCTACTATTATATCCTTGATAGTTACTGCTTACATTTTCACAGTAATAACATCATAAAGATGATAGTGTTGTAATTGTGATGTGATAATAGTAATGAACTAGTTAACTTTTTGTGTTAAGTTTCCTAGATCGCTGATTTAATGAAGGCATGGATGTAATAGGTCAATTGCAAATGGGCGGCTGCCTTAAAATAAAGAACAAAGGAACGCTGCATCAATGGAATGCATGTACATTACTAACGCAATTGCTTCATTTGGAACTAATTTGAAGAATCGTATGTATTGCCATGGACTATCAAATTTAATCATGCTAAAAGTTATGTTTATCATGATACCACACAAGAAATTGACAGCTCATTGATGTTAGTGTTGAATAATTTATACTACAAAGCAAATCATAATGTTAAATGATCAAATAGTGCAATTACAGACAGATTGAAATAAGCAATGTAATACTTGCCTCAACGTCAGCATTATCCATGTCTCTCAAACATTTAATCATACAATGGAACATCAGTTGACATGTTACTTCAGAGAGTGGTTAATTATTTTCATAAATCAGAAGTGTGTGTGTACATGTGAGGTCTCCCATGTGAAAGAAATTAAAAGTTGATAAGAAATAGTGACCAAATTTTAACTTCACTGCCTAAATAATAACCTTTTGAAGTCAATTGCCCATCGTAGATTATAGTCTATTGTAATTCAATTGATTTTGACAATGTTGAAAGATTATCCCATGCATTTAGCAAATTATTTACATTAACCCTAGGACAACTGGTCCATACCGAAATAACGACAGCAAATATTTAATTTGAAATGATGTATGAATTCCATCCCACTTACTGACAATCCACATGAAATGCCAAAGAACATTACTCTCTCTTTCCTTTCTGAGATCTATAAATAAACATAACATGAAATGAACACAATTAATAAAGTTCTCAATTTTAACTCGAATGTATCTTCTTGCTGTTAGTATCAAAAATATCTGTTCCTAATAGTATAATATTTAGGAACTGATTTTTGAAGCACTGACACTTTGGCGTACTCCATTTTTGCTGTAAAAAGCAGGTCCTTCTGAAAATTTATGGGAATTAATCGAGATAAAAAGATATAAACTGAGCTACTGATTTGCTATCACTCTTGCAAGAGCTTTATACAATTCCCCGAAGTCAAGACCTATCTAGCTGTGACAATATATTTTCGTGTGCAGTTGTAAACAGTGAAGCCATCTTTTCTATTTGATATCTTTGGTGTATTTGAAAACTTCTGTCCCATCTTTGGTAAACTGTGGAAGAAAATTCTCAACATAATATGAAAGCATAGACAAATAAACTGAAAATGTCCTTAATTTCAGCACATGACATAAATTTTACCTTAGATATGAAGAAGATTGTAAAACCATTCATGTAATCATCATTTGATGCAATCATAGCATAGCTGAGTGAAAAAAAAAGAACAATAATAAAATCAATAGCTACACTTACCTTTTTTAACATTTTAATTCCTGCCTCTGGATTATCCTCAGATAGCTCCTGAGAGGTTATAAGAACTCTGCCAATTAAATTAGTACATAATAAGCTTTTTTCAATGGAAATATGCCTTAAGATCAAGTTCCATATTTCAGAATTAACACTTACTTGTCTCCCCCTGCAATAACATAATCACAGCTTGCTGTTTTGAACAACTTGTTGAAGGAGGACTGAAACGAATAAAGATGGATTAGATCACTTTAAATTGGTCTATAACATAGTCTTTCTAACAAACATGCTAAGCATGATAGAGCAAATAAATTATTAGTGCTTTTAAATGTGTAAGACCCTTCATGTGTCCTTTGTTTTCTCTCACTGAGTCACATATTCTAAGACTAAAAGGGAAAGATGGCAGCAACCAGCTGCTATTTATTCTATTAATGCTTTGACCAGTTTAACAATTCTCTTAATTGTTTGTCTTACGCTTTTATGTTATAACCTCCATATAGAAGTTTGATGTAGGACCCTTGTTTGCACATTTAAGTAGTCTTCTGATTGCTTCAGGAAGGGGCATTAGGCTACTTGCCCATTTTACAGTCTAATCTGATATTAGACTAGTCTTGTCCAGCTGCCAAGGTGATCCATCCAATATTCAATTGCTAGTTGCCTGTCTTTCAGGTAATAAGTAGGCAGATGGCAGTCAGTTTCTTCATTGCTACACAGTGAGTCAGTCACTTACCTAAATCAACAAAACAAAAAATATACTCATTTAAAGTTTTCGAGAAGAAATGTAGATTGGGTTGTGGATGAGGTTGTAGACAGGCTCGCTGAGCCAGTGGGTTTGGTTGCAAAGGTTTCATCATGACCAATTCTCACTTGTGTCACTACACGTGGACAAAAAGGGACACAAATTTGACAAGGACAACACATCCATAATCGCACAAGCCAAACAGAGACACACTAGGGAATTCCTGGAAGCCTGGTATTCTAACCATAACTCCATCAACAAACACATTGAATTAGATCCTGTGTACAAACCACTGAGAAACAGAACTGGAAGTGGTACAAACACCACAACAAACTGAGGCATATAAATAACAAGTGGGACGGAACACCAACGCTTCACCAGAGGTACACTGATGATGCTACCTAGCAGGGTGACGAAATGTTTGCAACCAAAACACGGGCTCGGCAAGCATGTCCACAACATCAAAATACTCATTTTTATATTACCGGATATCCACTTCTTTTGTCAACAGAAAAGTCAGAGCAAAGCAAATTTCTCCACACTGGTTGTACTGACGGTGACAAAATAGTGATCATCAATTTCCAGAGTTTATTAAACTAATGGCAGATGTGTGCATTTGGAGATGTCTTCACGTGTATGGTGATAATCAAATAAGATAAACAAAGAACTGTAGATGCAGGAAATTTGAAACAAACAAAAGCAGAAATTGCTGGAGAAACTCAGCAGGTCTGTCCATATTTGTGGTCAAAAAAAAAGGTTATGTTTCGAGTCCAGACATCTCAAGCTTCTGAACAAGGGTCACTGGACTTTCAGCTTGTAGTAGGACTAAGCTCAGGAAGAAATCATGAGGTATATTGAAATTCAACACACATTTCCAAAGGTAAACAGAAACATCATAAAAATGATTTCTTAGGATGTGTGAATAGCTCTACCGACCACCAAAAAGATCCTGACCATAAAACCATCCAAGCCAATGGCTGAGACAGTTAAAAGACAGTTAAATTGCATTAACGATAAGGCAATAGAAGGATTTCTGCCTTAGGCCCAGGTCAACAAAAAACCTAATAAGGAAGGATAATTCGCAATTTTAAATTTTGCATTTTGATCTTGCTATGCTTTGCTGGAGTGGTGTACTGGGAATCAAAGTCTGACAGTCATCAGAAAAGTTAAAGTTTTTGTCAATGTATACAAAATTTTCCCAATTTACCTGCCTGTTTAGATTCTGGCAAACAGAAATCACAAAATCATTTCTGCACTTAACAAAAAATACTACTTATTACACATAAATAGATTCCAGGTAAACAACTATGAACCACTGACATATACCTCTCTCAGAGATAGTAAGAACTGCAGATGCTGGAGTCAGAGATAACGGAGTGTGGACCTGGAGGAACACAGCATGCCAGACAGCATCAGAGGGGCAGGAAAGTTGATGTTTTGGGATGAGACTAACTCCACTTGTTAAAATTCTAACCCATCTACGCACACACACGCATATGCACAGATGGACAGAAAAAGCATTGGTATTATGGGTAGAGGGAAAAAGACCATGGAAGGTAGTTCAAAGATCCCCTTCTAAAGGGTTTACTTTATTTGGTCCTTTTGCCACCAGGACTTGTTTCTCAATCTCTCTTCTCCAGGTACTTTTCACTTCTTGGCAGGTGGCTCTGAGTGACTGGTTCACAAATTATGAAGTCTCTTACTTATTGGTTAAAAGCAACAGCTTACAGCAACTGCTGAGTAAAAATAAATTGGCTTCTGAACTGGCTTCAGGTATTGTCTACTGCAGTGGAGAGCCACATCACATTCCCTTCCAAATCAACTACTGGTTGCTGTCCAAATCTCTCTTTGTACACATATCCTGGTTCCTACTCATTTACAACCAGCTCTTCCATTAGTCGGGCAAAGCAGCAGAGTAAACACTTCCTACAATAAAGTTTCAGTAACTTGTTCTTCAAAAGTGCAACAAACTCATCCACAATCCTTGCTTTTAAAACAATTCTTTTTCCATTTCAGTCAACAATTAAAAATATGGACGTATAAAAGAATACATTCTTTTCAAAGTGCATAAGGCAGGCTGTGAGCAGGCATTTTGCGCAGAATCCTAAGGATTTTTAACAGTCAGACAGAGGAATGCAAGCCAGCTGAAAGGACTGTTACACTGAACTAAGATAACAAGGAGTACAACCTACAGTATTGGAAAATCAAAACAAAGGAGACCTCAGTCCCTCCCTGAACCTGTTCTGCTCAGTCAAACAGTAGGAGTGACTGCCAACTATTTGACTACAGAAGCAATCACGACTTCTGAATCTTTCTTCAAGTTTTGGACTGTTCACTTTAGAAAGATAAATTTCAAGCAAGCTAGGCCTGCAATAATAATAGACTGATCTATTTTCATTCATAGCTTTGATTCTTAATTATTTTAAAGCCTTCTATTTTAGTGAATACATGTATTGTTGTTTACATAAATATCTTTCAGCAGTAGTTATGCAATAAACTAATCTTTTATCAAAAATCTTATGATTTCATGATCTTATGTTTAAAAACTGAAATTATATTGCTGATTATTTTTAGATCGAAACACTTGAAAATAAAAAGGGAGCTATAAATGAACTTTACAAAGTTTACAGAGGACACCGTGTGTCATCATGATATTTAATACATCATAGATCTTGCTGACTTTTCAATCAATTTTCTCAGCACAATTATTATATTTAAAGAATAGCAAATTAATTTTAATAGATTTAAAAGCAAAGCCAAACTCTAAAACTATGAAAAACATGATCATGATGAGGTAGACAATGAAAAAGTCTAATGTAAAGTTGTTAATTATTACAAGAAATGTGCCGTGCTGGTGTCTGATAGCTATGAGAAAGGCCAATCATGCTTAATGTTGCAAGTCATGGGGAATTACTTGTATTCTTAAGTATGCACCTTCTGATCTTGTGCAATTCATCAAAAGGATATTGATTTACTGAAGGATGTTTAGAGACATTGGACAAAGATAATTTCAGGATCAAGGGCTTTATAAACAGACTTTAGAAGAATTTAAGTTACATTGCATTCAAGCAACAAAGGCAAAAATAAGGTTGCCGCAGTCCTACCAGATCATAGGGCTGCTCTCTTGTTAGAGAGAAAGAGGGTCACTATGCCTCAGATGAGGAGGGAAGTTAAGAAGAAGAGTCCTGCATAATAATCTCAGCCACTGCAGGAACTGATCTCACACTGCTGGCATCAGTCTGCATCACAAAGCAGCCACCCAGCCAACTGAGCTAACCAGCTCATGCGAAGGACTTTCATGGGTTCCCACCGGTGAGTTTGATGATGAAGAAATTTGGGGGTGGTGGCTCTTCAAATACGGTGTGTTTGACTTGTCAACTATCTTCCATCTGTCTCTGTCCAGTCTCTCTTTTCATGGAGAATAGTGGTGTCGTTGGGCAGGTTGTCTGCTCTTAGGATTGTTCAAGTCTATTAGTGACCAATTAATGACCAGCTAAGTGTCTCATCTCATGCCTGCTACTATTTTATCTATGGCAGGGAGAGGCCCATGTCAAACTCATAGCCCTGCAGATTTTATTGGACAGCAGTTGTCAAGCAAAGGAATACTTCCGATGGTATCCCTGTGCACACAGGGGGCATTCTCTCCCAAGGGATCAACTCTCCAGCTTTTCAAACTCAGCCCCCAAACCTCTCACTACTCTCACTATAACTAGGTCCTGCTGATACCTGTATTTACCTTCAATCAGGCCTCTATTAGTTCCTCCCCCTTTGGGACTCCAAGTCATCAGTAGCACTGGCCATTGCTTGAACCTGGAGTTGCTGGGACTACAGAGCTCCTGGCTATCTAATTGACCAGCTGTTCGTTAAGGTGGTATTTCCTTACCGGATAGGGGTTAAAGTCTCACTGTTAGCAAAATAGAGCCCTTTTGTATGCTGTGGGTCTGACAGGATCAGCATTTCTGTTGTTTCTTGATAGGTGGGAAATGCTATGTTGTAAGCTGATGAAATTGAAAGGGTTAATATTGCACGTTTAATTAGGCTCCACACAATCAGATGTTGTCAGACAGACTTAAGTGGAGAAAGAAGAGTCCAGTTTAAGATCCCATGGAGGTCAGACATGTCAGACCTGACTCCTGATGGACATGATAATCATGACTAATTAACAAGTATCATTGTACCTACTGCTATTGAACTATTAACTGTGTCTTGTTGTTAAGGTAAGAGTGCTTCTCGTTAAGATTTGCAAGTCATTCATCCTTTCTTACTGTTAATCAAATAGGCTCTTGGACACATTACAGAAAGAAGGATTGGTGAGTTCCAAAGAAAGGTCATATTGTACTTGAAATGTTAAATCTGTTTCTTTCTCCTCAGATGCTGCCAATCCTGTTGCACTTCTCTTGCACTCTCTGATTTTATTTCAGATTTCCATCATCCACAATATTTTGTTTTTAATTAACTAGTATTGGTTGGCCTGATAGATATGTGACAAAATCCACCATCCAAGAAATCTTGCCCCAATAGGAAAGAAACTGGATACAGACCATATTCAGAAGATGGCCATTACTTTTATACATAATTTAAAGGACTTCAGTTGCTAGGAGAGACAAAGAGAACTGACATTTTTCATGTTAGAAAAATCCTGAGCTTTCAGAAGAATTGATTTCAGTCATTAAAATAATGAAAAGATTAGACATGTTCCAAGTAGAGAAGCTATTCAAGCTAGATAGCTTGGAGAGGACAAGGTAAAATTAATTATGAAAGGAAAGGCTGGGTCTTTTGCGACACAGTGCTACTTTCTGTATCTGATTAACATGTGGAATAAATTGATAACTGCATTGATTGGATATTAATTACAAGCATTCCAAAGAAGGCTTCACAAGTTACTGAGATGGCCAAGCTATCGGAGTCATGGAAGGTAGCCAAGTTATCCCAGGCTTCTGAAGATTCTTCAGGGGTTGGTGAACAAGCTCCCAGAATTGGCCAATTGTATTTTATGTGCTTTTATTTCACTCAGAGACAGCATGGTAGCTCAGTGGTTTGCATGCTGCCTCACAGCACCAGGGACCCAGGTTTGACTCCAGCCTTGGGCGACTGTTTGTGTGGAGTTTGCACATTCTCCCCTGGTCTGTGTGGGTTTCTGCTGGGTGCTCTGGATTCCTCCACAGTCCAAAGATGTGCAGGTTAGTGGATTGTTCATGGTAAATTACAGGACTAGGGCAGGGGTTTGGGTCTGGGTGAGATGCTCTTCAGATAGTTCTTGTAGACTCAATGGGTCAAATGGCCTCTTTCTGCACTGTAGTGATTCTATGAGATTGGTTGTTATTTTGAGGGCGATAGAGATTGGGGATGTGGAGAAATTTCATGCTATTAGAATGGGATAAACTCTAAAGACTTGCTGATCTTTAGCAATTCATTGTCTATGAGCAGAAACTAATAGGACCTGGAATTATATGAGTTATGGTGGTGGGTCTGCAATAATCATGTAAGTTACCCAATGAGGCCTTCTTGACATTGAGAGCAACTATTTGCATTTTTAAACAACGTTCTGGATACCTAGATGAAATTCTCATGAGGCAGCAGTGAGGTGCTTATTGATGGGGGTTACTACTTCTTCTCAGCTTCATTAACTGCACATCTTATTTCATTAATATGCAGCCTCCTATACTATCACTTGCCATGAGGAAACTAGATGCCAAGAATTCCCAACATAGAGATCAAGATGACTACCTGGTGACTGCAGCCCGCCACTTGCTTCTCTGAACCTTCATCTTGGACACCTGACACCAACATCTAGGGCACACTCCTGGACACCTGCTGCACTCCCCCATCCATGGACGGTAACAAGCAATGCCTGACACTGTCTCACAGCCTTTAAAGCACATCACTGGTTTATTTACAGGACGCTTCTGTACTGCAAAGCTACAAATTAGCGTGTACCAGCAACTCACATCAATGTGCTGCTGCAAGGAAATTTACATGCTTGGACAGGTGTTCTTCTGCGTAAATCAGGTGGTAGTATCAGGCTAGCATCAGACACAAGCAATGCCAAAGGAATGGGCTAGGTAGTTAATGAGGTGGGTTTGGGATTAAAGAATGAGAAATCTTGCCAGGTCTCATGGAGAGACACTCTCCATGGAACTTGATGAAATTGACCCTAATCCAAAACAAAGTCAGATTCAGTCCTGTGTTTGTATGAGAGGACTGCATCTGAGTCAAATGTCATTACAATAGTCTCATCAATTATAACTAGAAGTGAAAATAAAATGCGGTGACACAACAAACCAACAGGGAATAAATATAAAGAATATAGCCAGATACTGACAAAAACTTTAACCTTGAAAGCTTTCATAATAGTTCCACATTTCCATAGCTACTTTTGTGTATTAAAGAATTAAATCTGGGCAATGTATCTCAGCAACAATAAAGGCTGCTTTCTGCAGTTTTCTTCTACTTAATTTAGTTGCTAAGCAGTTCCACCCATTTTCAATCAGTATCATATGTTTACAATGACAAAGCCGAGGACATATTTTAGGTTAGAATGTCAGTTCAGTCAGAGGCTACATCGTAGGACTGAAAGCAGCAGGCAGAGTTGTTCCATGTTGTATTGTCCTCATGAGACGTAATTCACAATTTCTATACCTGATGGTTATTTTTCTGTACTTCCTACTTTGTTATTTTCCATGTTATTAATACATTATACTAATATTTATATGTTACTAAAGCAATAAGAGAGCATCATGTTTGTCACGTCTGCCCCGCTAACTGAGAAATTAGCATTGCAGCTAGTCTTACATTTAAATGAAGCTAACTGGGAAAACAATGGTGGACCAGTGTTATTACCAGAAAATTACACAAACTTTATAATAGTACAAAAACATTTTTGTTGCAGCAGTTAAATTATTAAAACAAATTACAGCAAAAAATGAATAACTGGTATCCTATATTTTTATGTTCCTGCAGATTCATTGCTTTAATTCTAAAAAAATTAAACAAATCAGTTACAACTGTGTCATACAATGTGTTAGTTGACAGCTAACCCAATAGAGAGGGAATTGAATTTATACAAATGACTAAAAACAAAATTAACTACAGTGGTTAGAAAAGATAAAGCATACGTACTGCAAGCAGAAATGCTAATCTTCCTGAAGTCCCACATCCACTTAGCACAATGAGGTTATTTTCAGGATCCTGAAAATATTAGTATAACATTTAAATAGAAAATTACGTAACCAAACATCTATTAGCAAAGGTCCAAATCACAAAGATTGTTTTGATCTTCACCTAGAGCACTAGAGTAAAATTATACTAAGGTAATAATTGTAGCTGTCTCAAACTGCACTGAGGATTAGCCCTGTAAACAACAATTATTTGCTCCAAATACTGAGACGATATTTTGTAAGGTCAGACTGATATTGTTAGTACTTTTTTAAACAAACAACAGTATATTGTTTCATGAAAGTAAGAGATAACAGTTGTCAAAAAGCTCAGGCAAATCATGAATGCTCAAAACATGTTCCAACTGAACAGTTTATACTGGACAAATCATACAATAACTTTCCTATTAAAACAAAAAAAAAACAAAATGTATTTGCACATTTATTCATTATTTTGCTGAAGTATTAATACTTCTTATTATGCTTCTGCATTGACCAGTACCAAGCACTTTCTTGCTGGCAACAAAAACAAACAGGGAACCAGCACTGATTTTCAGCAAATGTCAACCAATTTCTGTCTTATAAAATACAAAGGCATTTAAATTGGCTCTCCATTTTATTCCCTCTTTTTCCAATCAAGAAGCAGCTAATCTGTATTGTTGCTTCTCGTAGAGACATAACTGAAATACAGACTTAGCCATGTATCTGCATATTTTAAAAGTTAAAATTTGTATATGCTTTATAATTTACATATTGGGGATTTGAGTATGGAGGTAGTCTGCATTATTGATCGTCTTAAAAACTAGTAGACAATAAAAAAAATGCATTCTGTAAATAGAATAAACTGACCAGTGAAACAGATTCCCACAATGTGCTCACTTTGTTTCAAGATCAACAGTATATTAAATAGTAAAAATTACCTCAAAGTGTTCAATTAAGAAAGCTTAGTGGTGTTCTTTCCCAATATCCTGAATACATCTTACAATTGTCAAAATTGTAGCTTGCCTGCTAAAGGAGCATACCTTCAGTAGTTCTTTGACTTGCTTGGCAGTATCAACCATTGTTGCTAAAATTGATTCACTGTATAGAGTCTGTCCGTAATATAAAAGACATATTGATCACTTAAGCTGTGATATGATGAACAGAAGGAAAACTGGAGAGTGTATTAAAACAATTGGGTTTGCATTTTTGTTATGGAGCAATTTTATTGTTAGGTATGGATCTGTGAGTATTTGGAGGAACTCATTTGCAAATCAGGTTTTTGTTGCAAACACATTAGAATCAATTGCTGCAGTCTACTAATGTGTATTAATAAATTAAACATCACAACATTATTTCTAAATGCCCTACTTCCTACCTTTTATTCATTCTTGAAATGCACAGTCTGCTAACACAGTCAGTATTTGTAATCTGTCTCCAACAGCTCTTGCTTTGATGAGTTGCTTTCTTAATTTTTTTTATTTTCTATTGACCTATTCATGAATATTACATCACTGGAGCAAGTGGGACTTGAACCTGGGCCTCTAGGTCCAAACATAAGACATTACCACAGCACCATAAATGTCCTACGCTTTCTTCAAGATATTTTCTAATTTACTAGTTCAGAGACTCTACTACACACCACACATGCAGATGTGACTTGAACCTGGGTTACCTAGTTCAGAGGTCAGGATATTGTCACTGTAACACAAGGGGCCTTTTACCTTCCTGAAGGAATATTGAATTGACCTGTTTAGAATGTTGTGACACACCTCTGGAGCAGGTGGGACTTGAACCCAAGCCACCTGACTCAGAGGCAGGGACGGTATCACTGTAGCACATGAGCCCTTTGCCTTCCTGAATGACTACAATCCAAAGTGGGGATACCTGTTGTGCTATTAGGAATGCTTTGTGCTGTATAATGGAGCTGATTTTAATGTAGGATCAGCCGTTGAGTGGGTAGTAGGTAGAGTTGGCCCACCAATCACCTGATGAGAGTCATTAATGACTTGAACAATCTCATGATAGGGCCTCATTTAACACAATGGCAAGTTGTCAGCCCTGATTGACTGCTGATATGTACTTTGCTAGGAGGCAGATAGAGATGAGATGGAAGAAAAAGTGTGCAGATGATTTGACAAGTTTTAAGTAAAAAGAATGGGCAGGACAATTTAATGGATGTGGGGTGAGAGATTGAGGTGCAGTGGAAAGTTTGGCTTTAACTGTAAGGACATTTCTCGAAACACAGAAAACATTCATGCTCCTTTGGCCCATCCATTCACTGAAACCTTATGTTTTCTCCTGATCTCAGTGATCTTTAACTGCCTCCTTAAGGAACACTAGTTCAGCCGTATAGTGGTACGTTTCTACAGTCTGAATCTCATATTTTTGGTTTAAAATTAGGTGCATTGTATGTAAATATAGCTTAATCTGTATGTTAAGCAGCTAATTACATTATTGATTTTGAATCTTTAATTAACTTGCCTAATGTTATCACAAAAGTTAAAATTGATTATGCACTAGAGTACCTTATATTTGGTGGTCGTGCTGTCTTCCTTTTGAAATATTTCTGCATCACATTCTTTTAAAAGCTGAACAATTTGAACAGAATCTGATTTGTCTATATTTTGTGTTATGGGGTTGGATTTCTCTGTGATGGGGAGTTGGGCCTCGTTTAGGGCAAGCTGCAATGGAAAGGAATTGAGCAAGTTACATAATACACCAGCTTCTCCATGAGAAAGAAAATGTGATAATTTATGATCAATCCAAAAACACAAGCAGTTATACAGTTGATTGAATTTAAAACCAAGATGGTATCAACATCATCATTTTCTTTAACTATCAAAAGAAATAAAGCATTTGCAACATAGCAAGTTTAGAGATGGGTTTCCTTCTGTTCTTAACAAGGTTGCTGGTTCCTGCTTTCATTCTCACTGCAAAAGCTAGGAAATGACACTGGTAACCAAATCCACCAAAGTGGTTGTGAGATCTGAAATTACTTTGTTCTCATATGACCCTCGAGTCCTGTTTTCTGGTTACCATTGAGATTAAAAAATAGCCCACAATAGTTTGGAATCTCAGATTTAATTTAATGAAGTCGGTTCTGGGAATCCCATTAGATTGCAAACAGTTGGAACAGTTCTGTACTTCTTGCTTCTGAATCAGAAGGTTTCATCTTGTAAGTTGACTTAAGAATGCTGTTATTTTAAAGAAAAACAAACAACTACTGAGTACTGGATCTCATTATTGACAATCTACTAGTTACATGTGAGCACATAATTAGTTTAATGTGTATGTTTCCCCATATAGTCTAATTGATGAGATAACTGTGTAATTACAGCTATGATAATCACACCTAGTCCAAAATTCCAATGGTAGTTGACACCCAGTGAGCTGAAATGCATTGGGTGGCTTTTCTCTGAAAAGTGACTATGGAGAGCGGAGGTGCACCATGCACTCAAATGAACTAAGACAGACTTCAGGGAGCTATGTAGTAGACTCTCAGGCTCCTGAAATTTGTAGAAATGAGGTTCCTGCTCTGCAATGCATCTGCAGCACCTCAGCAGTGCTTCAGCAGTGAATCAATAATTTGGAGCACAATGATTGTGATTTAAAAAAAATCTTTCTCTGTCCTTTACTTCCCTGGCTTCCATTCTGATACCTACGTCCCGTTGTTCCACAAGTGGCTGATCCATTTCTGTTGATATCAATAAAATGTTAGCAAAAACAGCTACTAGTTCTGCAACTGTCTATTGCCAATAATGTGTCCTCGGCACATTGGGGTTGTCATGACACGTAGTCCTAGAATTTTAGTGAAATACACAACAACATGATTTAACACGATACATATAACCAACACTTTTAACTTTACATTACATTCAATACATCACATCAACCTTGATAGATGAAAAAACTTAGCTCTCCAATTTTGGTATTGGAATGTACACCTTGGCTAAAGGTAGGGTGCTTGAACTATTGAACTGAGATTTAATTTGGATTTTTAAAATTTAACCTTGAAACTCAGACACTGAGTTGTTAAACAGTAATTGTATAAACTAAGTTGGAACTGATTATAACGTGATAAAATTCTCCTCCTCTAACATTTACATGCAAACTGTATTTCAACATATGGGGTGAAATTATGCTATATGATATTAGTGATGAACACCAATAATATTTTAGCACGGAACTTCTCTACCAGGTAACAATGGTGTTAACCAGTATTGATGCAGCATGACTTTTTGTCAATATCTGACCTCCAGTTTAAAAGTTGGTGATAATTCAACTGCCACACCCCACTTACTTGATTTTGCTCCTGTACAAGCAGCCATTAACTGCTAAGCTGGGGAAAAGAAATTCACTTTGTGATCATCAAGAACATTTGGTGAAAGGAAAGCACTGATCTTCCCAGGTTGTGTGTTGACGACCTCTTGTAGAAACTGAGCCTTTAAATTGGAAAGCTCATTCATAAGTGGGATGATTTGAAATAAATCAGGTAAAATTAGATTGAAAAAGCCATGATATGAATTATGTTTTTTTAAGTAAAGGAAGAGTTTTCCCCTATTGTCTAATTCTATTTAGTAATTAATTGCCTGTTAGTGCAGAACTTTAAAAAAAATGCTAAGAGATATTAATTGAAGCTTTTCATCTTGTGCTTGTTAGGACTAAGAGGCAAGAAATGCACTTGATAAAAGGCACGCTCATAAATACTAATTTTGTCTATATAAACTTGTTACGCTGATCGATAGAATGGCTTACCTCCCATTTTCTGGGTTGTGAAGTTTCAACATCATGTTTAAATACTTTGGTGCTTTTCATTATTTAACAATAAGATTTAAACTTACCAAAAAAAACAAAGAACTACAAAAAAAGCTTAGTTGTTGACTGACTGTGGCTTACTTATTCCAAACTTTATTATAAAACAATCACAGACAGTCTTGCTTTCTAAATGGGTTCAAACTCCAACTTGATAGCTAATCAAAAAAGTTATACATCAACTCAATGTATCATGGACTACTAGGACTGAGGCAATATAATTTGAATATTTCATTTAAATAATTATAATTGTGTTTTGTCCAAATTTATATATTTTTCTCTGATAGAGAAGGGAAACCAAATTTACCTAGGAAAAAAAAAATTGCTGAGAAGTATTGTTTTTGCCAAATAAAATCTCCAAAAGCCACTGGAAAACTTCCAAAACATTCCGATTGTATTTTTGCGGTCACACCTAACTTTTAGGCAGTTCCAAGTGAACTAACTTTTCAGCTTGGATCAACTGACCTAAATACCGTCTGCTTTGCTAATCATATATGGCTCAAGAAGGAACTAGCCAAAATGAGCATACAGGGCTGGACAACAACCCTACCACAGCTGGGAGATAGCAAGAACTGCGGAGGCTGGAGTCAGAAATAATACTGTATGGAGTTGGAAGAACACGGCAGGCTAGCTAGCATCAAAGGAGCAGGAATGTTGATATTTTGGTCCGAAACCTCAACTTTCCTGCTCCTCTGCTGCCTGGCCTGCTGTGTTCTTCCAGCTCCGTACTATGTTAACCCTACCACTGTTCTTTTATTTTGGTATCTGCAGCAGGTGACCTGTATTGTAATTAGCTATTTAGAAAGTACAGAATTTTGCCAATTCAAACTGCTAAGTTCCTGGTGATTGTGCAATGAAACATACACTCACGTGGGGAATTTTCAGTTGTTGGCTTGCCTAATAAAAAGGGAATGGCGTGGACTAAGTGTGTTAAATTGTAACCTAATTCAATGTTCAGGTACAGACAGGCCTCTGCTAAAAAGGGGGGAAAAAAATAATTATTGGTCCAGGAACTAGGAGAAGTCAAATGAAAATCTGAATTTTGTCTGAAGGTCCATTGTCTTTCAGTACTCACCAACTCAATTACCCTGAAAGGTTTTCCTGCAGATTACAGCTGTTCTATTTCCTGGAGGACGATGGGTATGCTACAATGAAGCAACTTGATGGAGGAATAGTGATGAGATTCAAATCTAAGAATGGGTTCGGCCTCTGTATTGATATGTTAGCCAGACAGTGTGGGTGTGCTGACTGTATTGTGCTTGTTTTCCAAACACTTAGAACTTCTTACATGAAAATCTTACCTGATTTGTCAAAAGCATCCAAAACATTTATATAGATCAATCACGAATCACTAGAATGATCAAGTCTGGAGGTAACCAAACCATAGTGAGTGTTTTGACAGATGAGCTGAAGTAATTGGAGATGGGGAGTTTGAAGTAGATGGTTTTACTGATGGCAAGGCTCAAACTCCGCACTATGCTAATTGTAAACGCAGAATAGCAAACAGTCTGCCTTAGCCTCAGAGGCGAGGGTGGGAGAGATTGAACCTGTGGCTCATGAATTTCAGCTTAGATCAGAAGAAAATAATTGGTCCAGTTCTGAAGAAGTGTCTCTTGACTCATAATGGGCATCTCTTTATAACTCAAACCTTCCAGTCCAGGTAACATCCTTGTAAATCTTTTCTGTACCCTTTCCAATTTAATAATATCCTTGTAGCAGGTTGACCAGAACTGTGTGCAGCTCCAATTGTGGCCTCGCCAATGTCCTGTCCAGCCGTCCCATTGTATCTCAACTCCTCTACTCAATGTTCTGGCCAATAAAGGCAAGTGCACCAAATGCCTTCTTCACCACCCTGTCTATCTGTGACGCCATTTTCAAGGAACTATGTACTTGAACCCTTAGGTCTCTGTGTTCGACAACATTCTCCAGTGCCCCTACCATTAATTGTGTAAGTCATGCCCTGGTTCGTCTTACCAAAATGGACAGATATCTCTGCCTGCCTCAATTCTCTTCAAGGAAACAGTGCTTGGCATTATTGACATTTTTTTGTCACTGAGGCCATGGCAACTGGTGTCACTGAAGCCATTGGAATAACAGCATACTTGTGCCTTAGACATTACCCAGGAATTACCTGGTATTACCTTCAGTATCAATACATAAACTGATATGAACTGCAAGCTGCTATTGGTATAATAGCAGCACCTCTTGGTTTTCACAACACATGTGAGACCTGCCAGTTCCCTCAACTCAATTAATACATTTAGAATTTCAGAGATGCAAAACATGTCACTTGGCCAGCAGGTGATATCCAATGAAGGAGGAAGAGCACAGCACTGGTTAAGAGTCTGTTTCAAACTAGCAGCAAGTAGCTCAGGAAATGGAGTTGCCTTAGATGTTGGTATAGATCTGCATTAGCGGGTCAAGGATATGACTGATCTGCGGCAAGGTCAGGGAAAAAAGATGGTCTATGTCCTGGTAATGGGAAAGGATTCTGAAGGGGACTTCAGTTGAGTAGCATGCAAGAAAGGGCTAATAGTACATACACCAAAATGTCTGGTGCATTGGCAAACATGGTGGAGCCCTTGTTGCTACCATCAAGAAATATGCAAAAATATTTTTTGTAAGGGCCTTAGGATCATAGCATCCTATCTTGCAATGTTTTATGGAGCTGCACATCATTGAGCATAGATAGCACCATATGGGCAGACCAATGAACTACCACACCACATGAGTGCCCTTTAGAATGAGAGAGTATCTTGTAAAATCATAAAGATGATAGATTAGACCTTACATAATAAAGTCAGAATCTGGTATATTTATGATTGCCATTAAAAGCAATGTTCAGTATTAGCATATAATAAATAGCATTGTTCTAAGTCTAACGTCAGTTTGAAATTTTCCTTCCCCTCAACAAGTCTATCTCGAACTCCCCACTCAGTCTGACATTAAACCACATGATAAAAGAGACCCCAGCCCCAAGCTGAATGAGTTGGAATAGAAACAGATAAATGTGGAATGACAGACATGATATCCTACATCCTGATTTCCTGAAATTGACAGAAACTCTATTGAGTTGCCTTATGGAACAATTCAGGTGGCAGGCAGTGTTGACTTTTTTTTGTTATTCGCACTGCAGTCTGACCTTGATCATTGAACAGCATCAGTAACACCCACTGTGACAAAGGCAATAATGCGACCACAGTCGGAGGAAAGAAGTATTTCTCATGAATGCTGACACCGTTGCCATGGGTACTTTATTTTCCAACTTCTAGAAATAGTCAAAGCTGCTTTGATCCATTTGGACAATTCAGTAAAACATTTTTTAACCAGGGATTCAATGACTTTATACAAACTCACTATTCAACATAGTGATAAAAGAAAGAACTGCGGATGCTGGAGATCTGAATTTAAAAACAAGCTGCTGGAGAAACTCAGCAGGTCTGCCAGCATCTGTGGGAAAAGCAGAGTTAATGTTTGAGTCCAATGACTCTTCATCAGAACTGCTAGTAAGGAAATAAAGGTATGTTAGCAAGAAGAATGTGGTATGTGCAACACTAGAGAAATGGGTATAATAGAAATGTATGCTTTGGCAGTACTGTGCAATTTCAGGGAGGTGAAGAGTTGGTGACGATGAGCTTTGTGACTATATGGGGCACTTCAGCACCCAGGAGACTGGGTGATGCAAGCATCAGAAAACAATGAACCCTCAGTTTTTACAGAAACATACAATGAAAAACCACAGGTTCATTTAGACCAGGCCAAATTGTCAGCTTTAATAAATCTGCGAACATAATGGCCTAGATGTTGCTTCACTAATGGCAGTAAAACTGACATTGCAGTAAAACTGGAAACATTCCCTTTCATTAATCCATTAAAACTGAGAGTTGACACAGCATATGCACAGATTAATATGGAAATCAAAGTGCTGACAGTGACTTTTTTTATTTTTAAAAAGTATACTTTGCTCATAAAAGTCTTTTATATACAGCCATAGTGACTACAGCAGTTCAATGCTATACAGCCTTTGCAAATGTAGAACAAAAGATCACAAGGCATTTCTTACCTATACAAGACTGTATTTCCATACATTTGTGGCGCTGGGAGGATCCAATAACTGAACCGACTCCCATTGTACTTTGGCAGAAAGACCATAGATGGTGGTCTTTGCCCACTGCACTTGGCAGCAACTGCCCTAAGCTTCACTGCGTACCTCAGCATGCAGTCCAGGAGCTTGGAATGTGCCAGTCTGCAACACTCTGTTGAGGTCAACTTCTTGCTCTGGAAGACTAACAAGTTTCGAGCAGACCAAAGAGTGTCTTTTACTGAGTTGATGGTCCTCCAGATGTAGTCAATTACTGTCTTGGTGTGTGTCCTGGGGAACAGACTGTGGAGCACAGAGTCCCGCGTCATGGAGCTGCTTGGGACAAATCTTGAGCAATTCCATTGCATTTCTCTCTAGACTTCCTTTGCAAAAGCGCATTCCAGAAGGGAAATGTGTGACAGTCTCTAGCCACCGACCCCAGCCAGATCCCACTTCCACCCCAAGCCGCTTCGAAGGCAGCATGTAATAGCAGAGAGAAACTGGGAATGCATGAAGGATACCACAGGTAGGACCCTTCTCACCACCAGCCAAGTGATATCTTGGTGATTGTTGGAAAATTCTGGTGATGACACGTGCTGCCAAATAACATCGACAGTCTGCTCATGGAACAACCTGACATGATCTACCATCTCCTTTTCCCACAGGCTTTTGAGGACACTGCTGACCACTTCCTGGTGGACTTGTAGTCAAAGGTATTTTTCTTTGCAAATTTCTGCATGAAGGACAGATGATACAGAACGGTCCAACTACTTGATGTGTTCCACAGCAATGAGGCCAGACCCATCCTTTGCAGCACTGGGAATGGTAGAACCTCCGTATGAAGTGACACTTCGTGTTTGTGTACTGAGGGTCTGCACGCAGCTTAATGCAGCCAGACACAAAGGTGGCCATCAGGATGAGGGCAGTTTTGGGTACATTCTTTCCC